GAAAATAGTAATTTTTTGTATTATGCCAATATATGTATGTATCTTGTTACATATGCACTYTTAAATAATTTTCGCACACATAACCTCTTGCAAGCTTCGCGTTTGGTTTAACTATTAATGCTTCAATACACTTGTTTTTGCCTTCTTTGTCAGTTTCCGTTTCAGTTTATTTGCAAATTGTCACAATTATTTTAAGCAGTTTTTTAACACAATTTTATTCATACGGTTACATCACTTTTGCGTTGCCACTTTGCTTAATGCTAATGTTTAAAATTCAATTTACTTTCGCATTCATCATATTCGAGTATTCAAAATCGTTCCCAAAAGCCGCACTTTTCATATTAATTTTTAGTTGCATTAACAAATCCAATTTTCCATAATTTTTTTTTTTTAATTTTATTAAACTTCGTTTATTTTATAGAAAATTCATTTGATTTTTTAATACTAAATTTTTACATTTGTTTGTTTGTGTGTATGCATCTATGCATGCATAACTTAATTGTCTTTCTTGCTTAGTTTTATGATTTGTTGTTGCTTTCTCGAAACTCAAACACAATTTCAACACTTTCGCTACAATTCATTTGATAGTTTTCTAAATGCTATAATGCTTTTCAGTTGCAAACGATTTATGTGGAACTTAGGTGAACAAATTCATTATTAACTATAATTTCTTACAGTTATATTGCCTACATATATAATTATATGTATGTACATATATGTATATACTATATATGTATTTATTTTTGTATGTATGCAATATTTGAATGTATATATGTGTCTTGTCTAACTTTGTTGCATTTTTAATTTTCTCTTTTGTTTAAAGATTTTTCAACTTTTTTTGCTTACTTTTCATTAGAGTTGAAAAGTTTTCTTTTAAACGCACAGCTACAAATTGAACTGGTACAAAAATTATTTACTTAGGTATGTTGTGGGCGTGTGCTTTATTTACATTTACGGTATTGCACGTATACCATCTAGTGTCGATCGTAATATTAAACTGCCTTCGACCCAGAAGTTCGGACGATCAATCATATTTTGCCAAAGAGAGAGCTCCTTGCCGGTTGCATCCATCCATTCGACAGGGCGTCCGTAGCTTTTGCCTGGAAAATAATAATTTGAAATTTATTTATTCAAAATTTAGTTTGAGTGTTAACTGTTATAAAAAAATTACTTATATTACGGTCTTCACTCAAAAATCCATCTACAGACAAGCTTTATTTGAAACAAAACAACAAAAAAAAAATTTTTTTTTCTTAAATCTCAATTTTTAATTTGTTAATACTATTCAAATATTTCATTTATTCTAATAAATTAATGTTATTAAAAAAATCCGACAGGTGGCAACTCTTTTCAAAAATTTCAATACATTTTTCCCAACTAAGCTTGAGTCATATATTTTAATACTCAAAAAAAAAATTAAATAATTTTATTGAATACATTTTTTTAACCAGGTGGAAACTAATCGCTTTACTTGAAAAAAAAAAAACAAAATTGTTTCTTCTGTTAGATTATTCTAATAAATTAGTATTATAAAAAAATGCGACAGGTGGCATCTCTTTTCAAAAATTTAGTTCAGTTTAAAGTAAGTTTGCCTGATTAAGATTGAGTTCTATATTGTCATAAACAGAAAAAAAAATATAACAAATTATATTGATTTAAATTTTTTTTAAACAGGTGGCAACTATAAGCAACTAAAGCTTTATTTGAAAAAAAAAATACATAAACCATAATCTTAAGTTTGATAATACTATTCTAATATTTGATTTATTCTAATAAATAAATCTTATACAAAAATCCTACAGTTGGCAGCTCTTTTCAAAAATTTTGATTAATTGAAAGAGATTTTTCCCGATTAAGATTAAGTCATATATCGCGAAACTTAACTAATTAACTAGTCGCCAAAATTAACTCATATTATTGAATTAAATTTTTTAACGAGACGACAACTATATATTTCCAAAAATATTTTCAACTAAAGTCTAGTCTAATAAAATACTTTATATAAATCATCTTGGTTTGACGGTAATTATTCCTTCATTTTATCAATTTCCTCAAATAAAATTTTCAATCATTAACCTCTTCTTTTCGGTGTTTTTTCTTCTCAGTATTTTCCATCCAAAAATTTCATATTAAGCTTTTTAATTTCAAACAGTTCGAGTAGAAAGAATAATTAAAAAAAAAAGAACTAGAAATCTAAAAATTATATTAATGTGGATAGAGCGCTAGAATGTAGAGGGTACGCCATCACTATTGCTTAAATCTTAAAATATTCTCAAATCAGTTTCTTACCTGTGCCCAGTGAAAAGCGTACACCGCCGAGGAACTCATTACTCGCCAAACGATCGTGATCCCACACCGTCAATTCCAGCGCGCGTTCGGACAAATCGTCCAGCGATACGTCCTCATAGATGAAAGTATAATTCCAAGTGGGATGTAATGAGCGTTTCACAACTGGCGTTTTTTGTTTGGAGCTACGCGTACGGTCGGGCAGCAAGTAACTGTAAGGAAGAAGGTTTTGATTAAAAGTGTATTTATAATATTAAGGTTTATTACCAAGGATCCTTTGAAATGATAATATACAAGAAGTTTTTAAACTCAAAAGATGCTCTATAGGGCACATTATGGGTCTTAATACTGAGCACGCGTTCGAAAAAGGTTTTGAAAGTTGTTGGTACTCAATTAGAAGGGTAGTAAATATTACCACTGATTTCATTAGGGGAGAATCTCGGGCTTCATATGGGCGAGAGCTGAACACCGTAATACTATTTTTTTTTTTTTTAGAATCGAAGATCGGACACCGTTGTTCTTTTTGTTTTGGAAGGATCATTTTAACTAAATCCAAGTACTCAATGTTAGTTCAATAACATAGAAGATATCTCTAAAGAATATGTACTAATGAGGCTTGTTGAAATAGGATTTTGTTGATCTAAAAATAATAAATTTACAGATCAATCTCAGAACTAACATCAGTTAATGTAAAAGAACACCAAATTTGAGAGACTTAAGATTTATGTTTCTTAAAAAAAATACCTATCCTTTTGTTCACTTGATCTTGCAAAGCCAGAAGTACAGCTATTACATTAACCTATACCGATTGCTCACTTTTGAACTATGGATTAAACATGATTATTCTCAAACACCCTGTGGGGGCCCGGGGATGATAATACCGTATTGTTGCGGAGCACAAGGCTTTCCTGATAGCTTCGTGCCTGCGAGAAAATATGCCCAACCTCCTTCCCTCTCTCCTTCACTCTCTTTAATATTTCATTTAATAGTTAGTTAGTTACCTACCTTTTACAGAATGCATCACAAGTGCCGTTCACTTTAATTGGACTCAAATGTTTCGCCTCCTTCACGAGCACATGCAGCTGGCCGCCTTTTGTCGAGCGATCRGAACGCGACGCCACCGATTTGATGCTACCAAATTTACGCAGATTTGAACTACCGCTGCAGGTGGAGGCGCTACGCATAAAGCCGGGACGCACCATCTCTGGTGGTATATACTTCAGCCCAACAACAATATCACCGCGATACGTGGCTATCTCATCGAAGGGTTCACTCTGCAAATTAAAAATAAAACAATAAAAAAAATTTCACGAATGTTAAAGCTTGGCACTTACCCGCTCCTGCAGCAGATACCATTGTGATTGCGGATTATCGAATACTTTGCCCTGCAAACTGACGCTAACTTCACCGAGAAAATCATTGCGTCCAAACATGTCCGAATGCCAAACGGTGAGCCACAAAGTGCGCGACTCCAAGCTGGAGATGGGCATGTGGAAACGTAGTATTTCATCGAAAATCGGATTGAGTGTGTGCTTCTTAACTTTGGTTTTACGTTTGCCAGCCTTCGATTTGTCGGGCAGCAGATAGACCTGTGTTGTTKGTGAGAGAGAGAATATAAAGTTAGAGCAAATTTTCTCGTTTATGTTTTATAAGTTAGCTTACCTTCACATATGGATCACTGCGATTGCGCTTCACATCGACRGCAGCGAGGTCTTTGCAACGTACCACATGTATCTCMAGCGCGCCCAGTTTATAGTTGTATTGCATGCCGAACTCAACCTGACCTTTGACTACCACTGTGCCATAGCGTCCCTCGCCGGCGCCTGAGTAAACGCTGGCCATGGAATCCGAGCGCAGCTAATGGGTGAAAAGAAAGGCAAAATAAAGAGTTAGTGCAATTGGAAAGATACACTAAAACATACATACTATACATATATATATATATACATATAAGGTAAATCAGAATAAAGTAGTATTTTTAGTATAAAAAAATATTTTAATAGCAAAAAAAAAAAAATAACATTTTTTTTTATTAAACTGAGTGAATTTTTAAATATTTTTTTTTCAGATTTACTATTTATTAAAATCSTTATTAAAAAAAATCCGAATCCACAGCTGTTTTCCGCGTGTTAAAGTCAATAAATATGTATGCAAGAAGAGTTCTCGTTCAATGTCTTTACATAGTTCTTTGTTTCTTGTTTTCATTTACACTCTTATATTCACAAACATAAACATACATATTCACATTTGCTCTCCTAAGTGAATAATCACGGCGAACCAAGTAGCGTGCAACTGCATCTGCTATTTATGACTTTGTATTAATTCTCTCATTCGTCACAACAATGCTTTGGCTTTTGTGAACGTTCGCTGTTTTCAATGCAATGAGAAAATTCTTCTTATCTTCACGCTTTTCATTCCTAAATATTTACTAATCGTYTATTAGTCAAACATGAAAGCAGTTCAGTTCATCACTTGAAAAACGAATAAGGTATGACTAAACACGAAGAACTGCAAACTTCGGATTTTACGCATGACTTATAACCCTTATGTGTGAAAGAAAATATCTATTAGTATATGATGTTTTTCATTTTAGGAGTAAAATTATGCAAAAGCAAGAAAAAGCCTTTACTTCAGTAGCACCGAAGTTATAATACTTTTTCCAGACAAACATTTGATTTGTTCCGTTTATATGGTAGCTATAGCGTTTCAAACGTTCATAAAAAATTTCAATACAATAACTCGATTTCGATCGTTCAGTTAATATGGCAGATAATACTATAGCGGTCAGGTATTGGCGGCTCCGACAAATGAGTAGTTTTTTTGGATAAAATAGGACGTGCGAAAAATTTCAAATCGATATCTCAAAAACTGAGCTACTATTACGCGAGTATACAGACAGACGAAGAGCAGATGGACATGACTAAAGCGACTCAGCTCGTCGCGCTGATCATTTATATGTATATATATTTTATGGGGTCCGAAGTTTCTTTCTGGGTGCTACAAACTGGTAAGATCTGAATGAAGTTCATTCGCCATCACGCGTAACAATTTTAAAAATCCTATTTATGGAAGATTGGGGGGGTCGATCCTGATTTTCCCAAGAAAGTTTTGATCAGTTTGTATATATAGACGATTTTCCAACCCCGGTTTTCTTTTCACTTGAGTATCAAGCAGGTTCAGCGGGAATATTTTTACTTCCCAAGATGAACGCAATTTTTAAAGACTTTTAAAGGTTGTCGATTTAGAAAATTATTAGCTGTTGGTAGAAAACAAATCATGATGACCATGGAAATAATGAACATAGAAATTTAACCTTCTCGGTGATATTAAATACAATTTGTTGATATTCGTATTACAGACCTACTGAAATAATATTTGTATGTAATGACCTTGAAAGAAATCACACTTTGGAGGACAAACTGTACAAAGCGTGTTCTTTTTTTACTTTGAAATTTCAGGACTTCTAAGGCACAAAACTTTTTAAGAAGGACCTGAGGTGAATTTTGCACTTTTTAGTTGGAGTCTACCATTTTTTGTGAAAAGCGGCATACATTTTGATAAAAAAAAA